GCTTAGGGTTCATGACAATAAAAACTGCCGATTGAATTACCAAAATTAACACTTTAATTCACTTTACTTAAAAGACACTAATAATTAATCACACTGATTCACTTTATTTCGCTCCGAAGCTTCGCTTGTCTCGCCAAATTCAATACTGTCCGATGGCGGGGATCGTGGCATGCTGCGGGTTTAAATACACTTTTACACCGAAACATCCAGAATATTCCCGTAGATACGGGCGCCGACTGACCAGACGCAGAAAGTTCGAGTGTGGGGCTTCTAGGAAGCTTAATTCTTCTGTTCGATACTAGATGGCGTTGTTGGTAGAAAGTCAAGATTGACATTTTCTAGGAAGCCCTCTTCGCTCTGGTCCCCGACACTAGATGGCGCTAGTGCCAGGTTCCTGACGTCAACTTAGGCGCGCAACACTATCCATGGAAGAAATACGAGGTATAGTGAGGGATGAATTTAACTTTGCTTTTTCGTATTTTGAAACTAATTTGCTAAAAAATATGGAGATAAAAAACAATGAACTTATAGAGCGAGTAGAGCAATTGAGTACCTCACTTAATTTCTTCGAAAAAAAAAAATATGAAGAAATTCGTGCTGATGTACAAACTAAAATTTGTTTGGTTATGAATTGCTGAAAAGTTAGAACATGAAAATAAAGAGCTAAAAAGTTCATTCGCGGACTTCAGCGCCAGGCTTCCACAAATGGAACACCATTCGAGGCTAGCAATACATTGTATACAAGAACACAAATCAGAAAACCTTGTAACCGTTATCAAGCAAATTGCAAATGTAACAGAGTATAAATTAAGTGAAACAGATATTCACTTATCCACTAGAACATCAAAAATGGATAAAAATAGTTCCAAACCACGCTCTGTACTCGTAAAGTTTGCTAGCCCAAGAGTCCGAGATGATTTTCTCGCATCGACAATGATCTTCAATAAGAAACAGAAAGACAAAGACAAAAAGCTTAACTCAAGTTATATAGCGATATCAGGAGAACAAAAATCTATCTATGTTATGCAACATTTATCTCCGACTATGAAGTCTCTTCATGCGGCAACCCGTGTTAGAGCCAAAGAAATGGGCTATAGATATGTATGGATTAAATCGGGATGTATATATGTAAGAAAAACCGAGTCATCTGAATGAATATAAATGTATTAAAAATATTTAATCTCTCAACAGTCTAAGCCAACTGAATTAATTTATTAAAGTAGATTAATTACAATAAATTATACAAATGTGCTGGGTTATCCTACCACATCATACGATAGTAAATCATGTTATTACCAGAATGTCCGAGGCCTAAGATCGAACGTTGGTGGTTTTCTATACTCTTTGGTGATTTTATATGCGTAGTATCCTCTTTAAAGGTATTAATGTTCCTAGATCCTCTAACTTAGGTCTTAAGGTGACTCTAGTCGACATTATTTCCATAGAAATTTCGGAGGCGTTTTACTCCGCTGTTTGACAGTGTACATCCAAAGTTAAACATGATATCGTTTTGTCTCATTATTAATTTTGTCTGTACCGAAACAGAATAGTAAAATAAAAAGTTATTAAAAAGTTACGAGCTACCAAAGATTCGTTTTTATTGCCAATTTTAACACAACTTTGGGCGTAAATTATTAATAAAAGCAGTGTAAAATTTCCAAAACAAAGTCGGTACCGACACAGCTCAATTATCTAAAAATTCAATAATTTTTTAGATAATTGAGCTGTGTCGGTTTTTTCATAAAACCCCTCCTTCCAAAGGCCTTTTCGTATTTTTTTACGCGCGCGTGTTTATATGAATTATCGTGCATCTCACTGAATAATGTTTCCCTCGGTGCGGTGCGCGAGGACGACACTTACACACACATGCATGCGCGGTGACGCGCGCTTATTCTAGTTTTATTCGACTCAGTCACCTGCGGCCTGTGACGTTCGTATGACTATAGCTATACCTGCGCTCTAAATTACTACGCTACATTGACCTCTGCTTGAACTTTGGATTAAATCGAATTGATATAAGCACAGACAAAAATAGAGGAATATATAAATAAAATTTTGAAAAAAAAAACGATCTCAAAATTTTGTTAATGTTCCGCTAATTTTATCTGTACTTACCTATGTCAATTTGATTTACATTCGATTATAATTATATTCTCAGACGTGCAGGTTTCCTCAATATGTTTTCCTTCACCGCCGAGCACGTGGTAAATCAGCACAATTGCAATTAACAATTTCATTGGTGCCGGCGGGGATCGAACTCGGGTCTGCATGTCTGAGAAATTAAAAAATATATATTTCGAAGAAATGTGAAGTTCGTCAACACGCATTGAGGCAGCGTGGCGGACATTTCCTTGCCTACCCTCTCAGAAATTAGAGGAGGCCTGTGCCCAGCAGTGGGACGTATATAGGCTGTAACTTTACTTTTTTTACTTTTATAAATATGTTATTTTACCGACGAAAATTTTAAAGAAAAAAAAATAAGCAACCGACAACCTCCTAGGTCCCTAGGTGACTTGCGAGATGTCAGTGTAACAAAACAAAACGGCCCAGAAAAACAGACTTTCCAACTGATAGCTAAATGAGCACGCAACAATTTCATTGGTGCCAGTGGGGATCGAACCCGGGTTGCTCCCGTACTGTGATACCTATAACGAGCGCTAACCATGTGAGCTACCACGGCTCTCAACGACATCGTTCCGTTCGTGTACAGCGCTGAAGATAGCAGAGTAAAAAATTAGAGATTGTGGTGTTTGAAATTTGTCATCTGTGAGAGTGAATTTTATCTGTGTACTCTGTAACAAATAACTATATAGAAAAAAATGTGAAAATGACATTTCGCCATTTTTGTTTGTGTACTGGTTAGGAACTCGATCAAAAATTTGATAATTTTTCTGTTTTTATACGTTATTTCTAATGTTATTTTACATCAAATTAATTGTAAAGATATTTTCTTTAGGAAATATGTTTCATTACGACGATTCAAAAACGTTTACATATAATAATTTACCTCGAAATTCACTATACGCGATTATCGTTTATTGATTATATTATGTTGTTTAAAAAGTATTCCTATCAGCTTTGTGTTAAATGGATGCTAAATATAAAAGAATGCTTCAGTATTGATAGCAATTTATAAACGAAATATCAGTTGAGATGTGTCTAGAAATTATTAATACTTATTTTTATTTATTTATTAAAATAATAAATAAATTAAAATAAGTATACATTTATCTATATTGAGTACTAGTTTTTCCCCGCGATCTCGCCCACGTGGAATATGGATTTCATGGGTTTTAATTTTTTTGCGCGGAACCCTAATTCTTTTTCTAAAACAAAAGTAGTTCAAGTTATTCCTTATATCATCAGCTATCTGCCAGTGAAAGTCCCGTCAAAATAGATCCAGCTTTTTCGGAGATTAGCTGGAACAAACAGACAGACAGTCAGACCGACAGACAGACAAAAATTTTAAAAATTGTGTTTTTGTTACTAGTACTTTCATATGCATTTAATTAAAATCTGTTATTTTAACATTACAAACAGACACTTCAATTTTATTTATTTGTAGATATAGAATAAGATATTATTCATATTGGTGTCATTTTAAAGGGAATATCATGTACTATTATAATAATAAAATAATTGTCTCCAGTAAATATTATACCTTTCTTGTAAAACTCGAAATAACAAATAAATACGATTTATTTTTATATTCCCATATGCTTTATTTTCATCCTTTATTTTTTATTTGACCAATTTTCTTTTAACAAAATTAAATTCTGAATTCGTTGAGCTTTTTGCGAATATTTTTATTTGAATGTTAGGTAGGTACCTATTTAGTTTTTCAGTAGTAATCGTTTTTGTTGCGACAGTCTCGCGCGGTCGTAAAAAAAGTTACTGCGCGGACAGGTGGGACGAGAATCACTTGTGCGGCGTGGACGGTGGATAGGTACCTACCTACTGTTATTACCTAGATACCCACAACCTACTATACAACAAAATTTGCATGACCACCCGGGGAAAACAAAACATAATAAAATAAGCAATCTATATTAGGTATCTATAGAGCCATAGAGGTATAGTATAAAGCGATAACGCAGCGTCTAATAATTTAGTACGAGTTTGTAGGTAGGTACTGCTGATTTCTCAGCAAGCGTCGAGCGGCACAGAATAGGGTGGTATGTATGTGTGCATCGTGTTCGTGTAACTTCATTTTTGTTCTAACGGTTCGGAGCGCCGTACGAACAAGACGTGCGTTCTAACTGCTCTTCACTGATACTATCTCTGTCGGGCACGATGCCAGGTGAGACAACGTGCTTTTTGGCCGCGCCCAGGCTCCAATGAGTTCGAGCCCGCGACTTGTGCCACCTTAATAGTCTGCGCAAATCTGCGGCTCTGTGGCTCTCATAGACTAACTAACGCTAAGGCTCTATGGGTTTTTTAATTTTTAGTTAACAAAATAATGGGTATGTTCCGAAATACAACGCAGTGTACTGTCCAATGCAAATGACGTATCATTTGACACTTTATTGTATTAGCGTGCCTCCGCCATATTGTGTCGGATATCCGGCCATAATAAAACAATTTTTAATCGTGTGCTTGCCGAATGAAGCATGCCAGAATTTGTTTCTATTTATTGAAATACAAAAAATTATAGAATAATTGATGGTATATCCATTAGGAGGATATAATGATTTTTGGAGCATAAAATGATAAAATAATCGCCAACACTTTTCCAAATGGCGCAAAAGTATGACGTCATATACTGTCCAATGTTTTGGAACGAATCACCAGTATAGCGTCGATTCATGACGTCATTTGCATTGGACAGTACACTGCGTTGTATTTCGGAACATACCCAATGTATAGCTTGCTACATATTTATTTATCTATGATAATGTAAGGTTATGATTTAGAATTTAGTGTTATATTTGATAAAAAAGTAAAGTAAAAATATAACAAGAATGATATCCCGTAACTCTTTATTAAAGCGTACATGGCCAATGCTGTTACAATGCGCGGAAGCCCATAGAAAACCTCGATGGCTTCCTGTGGCGAAAAGCAAAATATATCGCATACCGAAGCGACCTGTTGTCAGTGAAGAAGAACGTATTGAGCTATTGAGGATTAATAACAATTATAAAACGCAAATGCGTGCAATAAGACGCTTTTATCATGAAGAAATGATAAAGGAAAGGTCCACACTCGAAAGTGCTAGTTCGGAAATGTCACTACGCTTGGAAGCCGAAGAGTGGGAGCGATGTGTTCAACTCAATGATAAATGGAATGCTCAAGTAGCTGCAGAGCGCGAGGAGAGGAGGAAAAAAGAATTTGAAAAAATGGAAGAATATGCACTTGCGCGAATTGAGGCTAAGGACAAAGAGCTAAAAGAGAAAATTGCACAGGCGTCTGAAAGGATTAGGCGGCAAAAGGTAATAAATTCTCCATTGCTTTTCAGTATGCTGTCATAAAAGTTGGATGTTGGATACAGTAGTACTAGCAGCCTTCTGTAGAGTAAGCCATTGAGAATCCCCTACAGTGCCATCGTTGGTTTAGACTGCGATAATCACTCAGTGGGTTTTCTTTAGTAATCTGCTGCATGAATATATGGTCGCCGAGTTGGTGGGGGAGGGGGGGGGAGGGGGAGGAACCTCCCCCTGAAAGGAAAAAAGTGCCGGAAACCCCCCCCTTTTTTTTTTATGAATTTTTAAAGTTTTGTTACATTTAAGGAAAATTCGCTTCCGTTTAATAAAAAAGAGGGCGTCCGGCGACGAAAAACTCACATTCGGGTCCCGGTGGGAATGTGGCAGCATTTAGGGTGGGAAAAACGGTGGGAATTAACACTATTTTGACTCTGCTTCTGCTCCAGCGCTGCGGGAAGTGCAGCCCTTTCGCCCTTGCGTAACTAAGCACAGGCACCTAGCTCACCTGCGCAGCTTCGGCTGTTTGGTCGCCTTCGGCGACCAGCCTCAGCCGCTACGGCTCGTACGCTGCCTGCGCTTAGTTACAGCGGGCGAGGGCTGCATTCCCTCCGCGCTTCCGGATTTTCATATACACTCTAGGGGTAAGAGCGGAAAGACCACGTGGAAGTTGGGGTTGACAGATTCGGTTTTGTGATTTATACCTTCTGGTACTAGGGTTTGATCAAAAGAAATGAGCAAATATAATATTATAAAAACATTTATTTATATACATGGTTAATTACTTTAATTAGTTCCATAAAAGGATCCTTTTTTTTTCTTTGCACTGACCTTCTCCACAAATATTCTATAATAATGTCTGAAAAGTTTTCCGGGTGGTTATAATTGTATTTACTGAAAAATCTTTTAACCACCCGCCATTGCGATTCGATTCTTTGAGTATGAGTGCCATCAGGGGCAACAAATGGGTTCTCAGGATCTGAATGGTTCACCTTCTTGTGAATGTACCCATGTTGCCCCAAACAATCATAAGCCCTCCAGAAGTCTGTATGGATTGTGGTGCCCTCAACCACATGTTTTTTAATTAGGGGCACTAGTATGTCCGCTGACCTGATGTTTTCAGGGCACACCTCTAGTCGTAAATCCTCACTTCCATCCTCAATGAGGCCGAGGATCCAGTGGCCCTCAATCTGCCTTCCTAAAATCAACAATAAACAATTTAGAGTTAGTAAATATTCAAGATATTTATTAATTATTTACTCTATATTGTACAGTGTACACCAAAACCCAATAGTACAAAATTACAAAAAAAAAAAACAAATACAAAAGTACAAAATTTTATAGCAGAATATGTACAACAGGTTGTCTTATCACTCTGAAACTTATTTCTTCCAGATATTTTGGCTTTAAAAGGTATTCAAATATATTTAATAAAAGGTATTAAAAGATAATTTGGGTTCAAAAGTAAACTTTAAAATAAATAATGTGTAATAATTTAAGACTAACATAGGTTAAGCTAATTTACTAACATATTATGGACTATATGTAGGTCTGAAATAAATTTAATTATCATTATATTATTATTATAAATATATTGTTTCAGTCTGTAATATAAGAAAATCAAATTACCTTTATTATATTTCCGTTTTCCAAAATTTGACTCGTCTATTTGGACTACTTTTCCTGGGCCACCAATCTTGCCGATGGCCTCTTGTTGCTCTATTTGGTAAATGACGACTGTCTCCCGGCAGTAATTGTACCAATCGCAGACAGTCGCCATAGATAAGCAGCCTCCCTCTATATCTTTTTCTGGGTCTTCGTGGATTGCATCTTCATAGCTCCAGCGATGCGCATAACAATACATCAGATAGAATACCCGTGGCAATGACATTTTAATATTTTCAAACCAGGTGCCCTTGCCACGAGCTACCCTGGATCGGGCTCTGCAATTTCCTTTATTGCAAACAAAGGAGCCCACATTTTTATTTTGCCCATATACCACTTTCATTGGCACTCTATGGGTGCGGCACTCCTTAGTGGCAGGGATTAAGCCATTTTCAATGGCAAACTCCACACACTGTACTCTGGTACCGAGTTCTCGCACGATTCGGGGTAAATTAAAAAATTTAGCTCCTTCTTCCACATATAAACGCCTGCGCACAAAATCACCATAAAGCTCCGCGAAGGGTACTACATCCGTTGCGGCGGCGTCGCTTGCGTTCGACGGACCGGCCGAACTAGTTGACGGCGTAGAGTCGTCGGCCATCTTGGGTCTCTCAGGTAGACAGACAGGTAGGCAAAGTCCAAGAAAACGTGCAGGGGTCTTCGTAGGGCAAATCGGTGGTCCGGTATTCGAGCACGGGTCTTCGTCAAGGCAAATCACAGGTCCAAGAAACAAGCAGAGGTCGAAAATAGAGCAGGCGGTAAACGGAGGTCCGATAATCGAGCAAGGGTCAAGAATTAGGAGCAAAAAATGAGCGCAAAACATTCAAAGTCCGAAGGCGAAAGTGGAATGGATGGTGACTAAAGAACAATACGTGGTTTAACATCGTATGTTAGAGTAGGATAGCACTATAAATAGATTAGTAGATCATACAAACTATACTATTGTTATCTCTTTCTAATAATTATATCCTTGTTGCTTATTTTTTTTTAAAACAGAGTACAGACCATGCTCTATTGCTATCTCTTTGTAATAAATATATTCTTATTTCGTATTTGTATCATTTTTAAATGGATATAACCTCAAAACTATAATTGTCGATATCTCGAAAACTAAAGATTTCCGGCATAAAAAAACAGCTAGATGATAATTAATAGTGTCATTTGCCTGTCAACTAAAGCTAAAATGATCAAATAATTATGTTGTTATTTCGTTTCGTATCATTTTTAAATGGACATAACCTCAAAACTAAAATTATCGATATCTCGAAAACTAAGGATTTCCGGCATAAAAAGCAGCTAGATGGTAATCAATAGCATCATTACCTATCAACTAAAGCTAAAATGATCACTTAAATCGTGCAGCAGATTACTAAAGCCGACCCCACTCAGTCCACTCTGGAACCTAAATCGAAGCTAAGAGCCAAGCAGTCAACTCTGACCTCATACATACCTCAAAACTTAAAAACAAGATTGTACCAGTGCATGTTGTCAGTGATTGAGTGATGACATATGGATCTTAGACATGGTCCTTCACTGCTGTCCTTATGAGAAAGCTTAAAATTTGCTCAGTAGCTATAGAGAGAGCTATGCTTGTAGTTTCTCTGTCAGGTAGATTTAGGAATGATGATATTCTCAGTAGAAGCCCAGTAACCGACATACCCAACAGATCAGTAAGCTCGTGATAATGGGCCGGCCAACAGCCATATAACTCTAAAAACCAACTACTGTTGGGGTAGAAAGGTTCCCAAGAAGCAACCACGCATTAGTAGACTAAATGTCGGTGAACACCCCTGGATGGTAGTGACAACCTGGTAAAAGATCAGGAAGTCGGTGCTCAGGGTGTCTCAGGACTGTACTATATGGCATTCCTTGGGGGACGAAAACACTAAAAAAAAACTAATATGTGTTATGTTTATATAAGAACTTAATTGGGACCTAGCTATTTTGTCACAATAACCAATCAGTTTTAAAGTACAATAGGTTTTGACTGGGCAGGTTGGAGAGTGCAATAATGCTGCACCCTGTCACTGATTCATGCCATGATTTGTTGGGAAGAAGATTGTGTCAACAGTTGACACACTCTTTTTCTTATCGTTTGACTAGTCAAAAAAGACATGTAGTTCTGCCATCATGCATAGAGTTAGTAAGGTAAACTCTTTCTGCTCTAAAACTCTAGAAATGGGGCTCAGCTGTGAGATATATAAAGGCTAGCACTTAATGTTTAGGTTTAATGCCACGTGTAAGTGAGTGTAGAACCAGAGACCCTTTTTACTAGAAACGAGGTATTCCATCTTTTCACCCCTGGGGATGTTTGATTCTTCATTGAGGATAAATGTTGATAAAGTTTAATATCTAATTCGCAACCATCCGCATTAATTAAATACAACGATGTGTCTTACCTGGATTGAAGAGCATGCAATTGAGGAGGAATACCATAGTGAAATAGTAGCTTAATTCTGCTGTATTTCGTATGGTGAGTGTAGAGAACCGGAGACCCTTTTTACTGGAAACGAGGCATTCCATCTTAGTCCTCACGGGTGACAACGCATCTGCATTTTGATTCGTAATCGAGGATAGATGTAGATGTCTTTGGGCCACAGCAACCACTTACCATCAGGTGGACTGTGTGCTCGTTTGTCACCCTATCCTATAAAAAAAAAAAAAAAAAAAAAGGGCGGGAAGAGCATGCAATTGAGGGAGGGCGGGAAGTATTTAATTAATGCGGATAGTTGCGAATTAGATATTAATCTTTTGACTTTAAGTACTATCAATTATAAATGTTGATGTCTTGAGACCTTTGCACTTTTTTGATGTTGACTGCTTGCTGACTTTTAATAGCCTACGTAACTACCATTAATTTGGATAAATCGCGCATGCAAGCTAAATAAAACTTTATCGCTGCATGCGAGTGTCCATATTACTCTGCATCTTTTCCCCTTTCTAAGTCACAGCAGACTTTTCATGGTTAGTAAAAAAAATGCACTGTGAAATGTTAATTAAGTTACTTAGGTGAAGTACCTATTCTGACTATGATCAATATTTATGCCCCTATGTAAGTTCTGCAATGCCTACGCATGCAAATTGCAAGGTCATGAATCACAATGCTTGATTCTGAAGAAATAGGTAGATAGTGTAAACAACAAATAAACCTGAAATATGATACCTAACAGAAATGTGATCTATTCTACTTAGTTAAAAATCTTGTTAGAATACAGTCTTTTTTGTGTTATTATAACTTAAAATATTTTAATTACAAGACAAGTATAGGTATGTAAGTAGATAATAGTAATATGAGTATAATAATAGATAAAGTAGGTAAGAAAGTACTTAGGTATTTCTTCTGTAGATCAAATTATTACTTAAAAATATTTCGCTGTAAGGACCTATCTAAAAAAAATGAAATAAATTGATCTTTCATAATTTCCTTCCTATCAAACCTTTTGTTGGTCATTTAGTATCCATCCACACAACACCGACGTTTTGCCATTATAATTTATCAAATAAGTACATAATATACAATATGTAACGTAATTAACGCACACCCTCAGACACCCCAATTAGTATATTATGTTATAATAATAATACATACACTGAATTTTTAGTTAAACATTTTATGCACTGATTATTTATCAAATTAGTTATACTAATTCCGGAAGAATGTTGTGGTCACAGTATAAATCCACAAACACAAAGAATTTAACGTGCTTGAAATAAAGTTCATTTTTCTTTATTTTTACTGAATGACAGAATTAGTAATAATACAAATAAAACTGCACTCTTAAAAGTCTTATTGCCTTAAGATACGGTCCATTTCAGTTTGTTTTTACTGTACATATTTAGTGTAACTGTAATTTACATAGTTTTAATTATTTTTCGGATAAAAGATTACCTATATTAAAAATGATAGGAATCGATTCAGTAAACGATTCTGAACAAACTACTTTCTCAAAGTGCATTAATTATGTTACATGTTGTATACTTAACACTAAACAAAAACTATTTGAACAAGTATTTACATAAAACTAAACAGTACTAAATCTAACCAGTGTTAAAAAACTTTAACATTCAATCACCTACAACGTGCTAGCCATGACTGTGTGTAACGCCTAGGGTGCCTCGCTATTATAGAGTAAAAAGGCCTTGAGTGATAGAGGCCTGCCATCAGGTGGATAGTGTGCTTGTTTGTCACCATTATTATACATTATATCTTTAAACAATTTTACAGGAACTCAGCACAACATTTATCACACCAGAGACTTTGGATGAGGCAATAGACCATGCACTGGCCAATCCCACAGATTACAATTTTGCTATTGACTTGGAAGGCCAGCAATACCTCGGAAGAGACACACCCATACCAAGTAAAGAACAGAAGCGGAAAGCTGCAGGAAATAATTAATTTTGTAGTTATTCAATTTTAAGAAAAGATTAAGTAATTAGAAATAATAAACTATTGTTATGATATAGACATTTATTGCATTATGAGTGTACCACCAATCTACTCCAGCTTCATACAGGTAAACAAAAACAACATGTTTAGTGTCCTTGAATCATTGAAGAACAATTTCCTAAATATATTTCTTTTGTTACCGTTACAGCCTATTAAAATCCACTGCTGAACATAGGCCCTCCCATAGATTGCCTCATGGTGGGATATTTGCCATAGTAGACATGCTTTGAAAGTGGGTTGGCAAATGCATTTTTTTATATTTAGTCATTAATAGGAAAATGCTGCTGCTCATCTCCTGATTTCTCTCTGCCGCCTCTTAATACACCCACAAGATGATAATATGGGGTAGTGGTGTAAGGATACTGCCACTACATGGTAAAATTTCTTTTGTATCCATAATATTTAATATTATATATAATTACAGGGTGATGCCAAAATATTCCAAGTAAATAACTTGATTTCTTCAGCTCTTAAAACTCCATGGCTGGACCTCTTCATTGTAGAGATAGAGAAAGTAAAAGTTCTCCTCCCTATAGCATAACACTTATGTTTTTCAAAAGTAGCCCATCTCTGTATATTATATTCAACAAATAAATTATATAAGGAGACACTATTTTTCTAGAAGTAAGCTAATAAGGGCGTTATCACACTGGCGATTTGTAAGCGAGTTCAATGAGTTCACATCGAGCACGGCGAGCCCGCCGCGAAGAATAAATAATAGACTGCGCGAATAGCTCCGTTGACGCCATTTTGTAAGCTCCTGTTGTACAGCCCGCCCTGGCCCACTTCAGTTGTATCAGAGACGAGTCTGAATGGACATAGCATCTTTGCGAGGTTCACACGTCGTTGATACAATGGATATAGAGTAACAAAATGGATTCTGATGAGGAAACACTGCTCACACTTGGTCTGAAGTGGGGCAGGACGGGGAGGGCTATTGAACGGGAGCTTATAAAATGGCGTCGATGGCGCCTTTCGCGCGGTCTATTACTTATTCTGTGGCGCGGTGTCTTCGCGGCCGGTACACCGCGCGCTTAATGCGAACTCGCGGCAGCTCCCTACGCACTCGCCTCGCTTTGAACTTGCTTGTAAACTGGCAGTGTGATAAGGCTCTGATATCACACAATTTTTCTAAAGTAAACACTCGAAAAATGTTGAAAACAATCAGTCTATTTGTATTTTATTTAGTTGCTTACTCTGGAGATTCCTTTATCCTGGCAGATGGCCTTTGTTCTACCTCTTCCAAAAATTTCTATGCCCAGTGCTCTCAACTCAAAAGAAAAAAAAAAACTACTTCTTCATTTTTATCAAGTTTTCGAAGCTGTAGCGCACACAAACAATAACAAACTTACTCAACTGAAGGCAACTTATTAAATCTACGTTTTTAAAAATAACGAAGGATAATTATTTCTTATATTTACGCGAACACTACACATTGATTAAAACTACTTTTACGGATTTTATCGCGTTTAATTTTAGTTATTTTTATTTTTAATTCCCGACGTTTCGCTTGCTTTTCAGCACCCATGCTCACGGGGGACTAAGGTGACTGACGTCTCGATGTCATTGTTAAACTCGGAGTAACTTCAGCTTTTTTAATTATTGTTTATGGTTCGATCTATGTCCTGAGGTCTTGCAGTGGTATGCTTGGTTTTAGTTTTAATTTTATTGTTTATAAAATCAGGTAGTATAATGCAGGTAGTAGTCCCAAGCAGGTAGTTTAATTTACTCACATGACCTAATATTGCTAGCTAAAGGGAAACTGAATGAAAACTGGAATAAATTGTGGGAAGTTTCCAAAAATGTTAAGGGTAAGCATTATGCTGCCATCCAAGAGGTTATTCCTCCCAAGCCTTGGTTCTTTAAATTTAACAAAGCAAATCAACATGCAACTTCAATCATTTGTAGATTAAGAATTGGACATGCTTGTAACACATGTACATCTGGCAAAAATCAGAGTAAGGGATAGCTCATTGTTTGAATGTGGCTTATTTGAAGGTTCCACAAACCATATTTTTTTCAACTGTCCCAAATTATCCTCCTCCCTTTAGGATTACCTTCCTCATTATATTCCTCAACCTATAGATTTTAAATCTCTTTTAACATATACCAGTATTCCTTTTGTGTATATTTTATATGATTTTATTAATACTAATAATATGAAACTTTAAATCCTTGTCACTTTTAACCACTGACCTCTACATATATAAGGTGTACTTGTATAATATATAGAGGTCAGTGCTTTTAACATACTGATAAGAGTCTAACACCTGTGTTTGTCATATTTGTTCTAGGTAATTCAACAAATAGATTTGTCAAAACTCTCGGAGGAAAACTGAATCCTTGTATTATCACAGACTCTTATTTTAATAAAACTTATCAGTTTTGATTTTCCACTCAATAAGTCATTGGCGAATTTTATCAAACCGCCACAAAAGAAAGAAGAAGAACACCATGGGTGCGCTGGAAAGCACCCGAAACGTCGGGGATTAAAAATTAAAATAATTAAAATTGAAATTAAACGCGATAAAATCCGTAAAAGTAGTTTTAATCGATAACGAAGGATGTGCATAATAGCATGGAGTCTGGAAAGTTGACGATGTTAGTTTTAAACGATTTTTCTGACGCTTTTAATACCGTTGACCTTATATATTCTCATCGCCATCTTGTCCTACATAGGTTTTCCTTCTCATCACGGACTTTGGTATCCTCCTATCTATAGGTCGTCAGCAGGCGGTTCGTGTCGACGGCATGGTTTTCGATTGGTGCTACTTAATGACTGGTGTTCCGCTAGGCGGTATTCTCTCCACTACTTTTCTCCAAATTTCTTAATATGATAACTTTTAACCTTCCTCCTCCATCCATCCCTCCACTATCCATTCAAGCCTCCTACCATCTATCCACATCATTAGATCCACTGATTTCTAATGGCGAGGTAATTCCGTACAGCATTCGACTTAGGATTAACCTTGGATTGTTCTCTTACTTGTTGAGGAAGTTACCTGTAAAGTCTATGCTACTTTGAGACAACGCGATTATTGATATATTGGATGTATACGCGACTACTTTCCATATGGGTCCCTTTTTGTTTTCTCTGTCCCTGGTTTGAATCCTGTGAAATATGACTCAAGATTTCAAATTGAAATAACATACCCTTTGTCTTCTATACATGTAAATAAAATTGAAGTGGCTGTTTGTAATATCTAAATATCTGTTGTATATGGAGCTGTGCCATTCATTAACAACCAGTCTGTCTGATTGTCCCGGCTAATCTCCAGAACGGCTGAACTTATTGTAATGAAATAATCTAAGAAATGTTAAACTAATAGGATAATATAATTGCCACATGAAAAAACAAGCTTTAATACTCTATATAGTAAATGGTAATCTATTATACTCTTACAATATTTTTTTTTTAATTTTGACCCTTTTAAGTAGTTAAAGCAAATTCTCAACCATAAGATCACAATGAGAATGTTGTCTAATATTTACATAAAAACTTCATCCCAATTTATTACGCTTTGGGATGGAATTTTTTCTTCTAATTCAAATGGAATTTGAGGTGTAGTGTTATTTTTTTAAAGAGTAGCCAAATTTTAAACTTAAGTTCAAATATATAATGATATACCGTTACTGCAGTTTTTCAAAATAAGGCTTATACTTTTATTTGAAACTTTCCTATGAGCAACAACGCTTTTGCCTAACCGATCTACCCTTACGAATATAAGTGTAATGTGTAAAATCAGTTAAAATAATGCATTATCATGCATTTTAAATTTAAAAGATAAAAATCACCGAAACCATTTCCCTACATTACTTATTCACAACCAGATAGAGAGTAATGCCATATTATCTAGGTTTTTTTTGAGATATCGATTAAATAAATGGTCTTTGATGATTATCTTAAATAACGCCATATAAAATATCCAGGCTAAGCCGGAGCTGTCTTTAGTGGAAAATAAGCGTAGATAAGCCGATGATTGCACATGATTGAATGGTCATTGAGATAACACAGAGATATTTTTAGATTTAAGGGATAGGGAATGCTAGTGTGGTTTTACAGTGACGCTTTCGCCAGCGCGGATGTTAAGCGCGGCCCATAAGCGCACGGATGACCCGCTAGAAACTATAAAACGAGTTTAGAGTCGGGCGGTTTGCCGCCTCGTACAGCCGTGATGAGACTTCTCGCATTTATTATTCTATATTCGTATGGAAAAAAAGGCAACGACGACGACGTATACAAGTACATCCTTAAGCCACTAGATTGTTGAGAGGCGCGTTCTCTACATCGTTTTCGAATTTAAAAAAAACATAGTGACAAGTTCTTTAAACATTTTCATCTGTCTATAACATCATTTGATGAATTACTCTGCAAGATAGAACATAATTTAAAACGATCAAGTTTACGTCGCGCACCTATAGAACCAGTTAAAAAGTTGACGATCACATTCATTTTGGCGATGACAGTAAGCATACGCGCGTCAGACCGGCGAAACTGTGCAACGCACACTGAACACAATGACTCCTCGCCCGCGCGCTGTTGAAAAGCGCGGGCCATCCGCGCGTGTTGGCTAAACTATGTGACGATCCAAGAGACGCAACGCTCGTGGCCCCTGGTACCATAGGCAGTGGTGAATAGTTTAGTAGGCTGTATAAAAGAGTACTCTGTGGGCAGTAGGCACTCGCGACACAATCAGCTGAGCGCGAGCGTCGACCGGCGCGGCGGCGCGTCGAAGAGGTCATACTTTATAATTAATTACCTATTGCTCATTTTAATATTTGTGATTTTGTTAATGTTTTTTGCTTATTTAATTATGTATATTGATTTTTAACACGATGTATCATACTGATAACAAGTGTAAAATAAAAAAGACATTTTATGTGGCTATGTATTCTGAAATTGTTTAGGTACTACAAAATACAGACTTAAAAGGAGTCAGACATGACAATAAAAACTTAAAAGTAGCTTTTATGTAAATGTATTACATTCTGTAAAGAGTGTCTCGCTAAAATCGTTTGTAATTATGCCACCATTATATTCCCAAAAGGTCTTTAGTAAATTAAAAATGACCCTGTATACTAACAAAAGTCATAAAAATACATATAGTATTTTTGCATATTGATGCATAAAAAACATAGAATAACACATTGGTAGGAATGATTATACGTTAATCAGCGATCTGCCCTGGCTTCGCACGGGTGATTTTTGGATCTCGACAACATATGCATGTATTATAAATATTAAACCTTCCTCTTGAATTATTCTGTCTATTGATAAAGACCGCATCGAAATACGTTGCGTAGTGTAAAAGATCTAAGCGTACAGACAGCGGGAAGCGTCTGTTTTAAAAGAAAAGATTAAAATTAATATAATCAGTTTATTTAACTTAATATTAAATATACATAAGTATTCTAGACGGCCATGTCAGTGAACAACGCCTGCCAGTCGGGAACTATGTTCAGTTTGTGCTGTAGTGGTCCAAGCGAGACCAAGTTTGCAGAGCGGGAGCTGTGCTCCACGGCTACAGACACAGCCTCCTGGTGAAACGCAGCTTTTGTGCCCGGACATACCTAGAGGATAAATTTACATAGGTACATATTAACTTCCTTATATACTAACTGCACTTTATCGCATCGAGCTTCTTTCACAACCATGAAGGATTGACAAAACATTGCCAAATTAACCGATTGTACTGCCACCTGTTGGAAGTCATTAGATTATTGTGCGATCTCTCATAATCGCCATTTACTGTGTTATTATTAAAGTTTGTGTTAACGGTGTTATTGGCTGCGTTTGGCAGAAAAAAGCGCTAGGAAGCGCCTGTAAGCAAAATGGCGATTGTAAGCGGTAAGCGCTGTCAAATCGTAAGTAGCTATTTTCCTCTAGGACACGAAGTCAGTTTTAACCGGGGAACCTAACCTAATTTAAATATATGTTTGTAAAGTATTCATATTAAAAACTTACCAATCATGAATTTTTAATAACATGTATATGTTTATTCATGTTATTATATTACTTAAAACTAATATTGCACAAAACAACTTATAAACTCTACTTCAAAACAAACAAAATAAATAAAATTGCGGTTTGTGTCAGCGCTACTGAAGTAGCAATCGTGTCCTGGCCGAAAACTTTCAGCGCTTGTAAGCGCTTGCTAGCGCTTTTTTCTGCCAAACGCACCCAATGTTAACGTTTTAAAAAAATTGAATATGGGTGACAAATGAGCACACAGTCCACCTGGTGGTAGGTCAGAGAGAGAGAGAGAGAGAATCAAAATGCAGATGCGTTGTCACCTCTGAGGACTAAGATGAAATGTATTATCTACTAGTACAAGACTAGTACAAATAAAACTGCACTCTTAAAATTCTTATTACCTTAAGTTACGGTCCATTTCAGTTTGTTTTGAATGTACAGATTTAGTGTGACTGTAATTTACGTAGTTTTGATTATTTTTTGGGATAAAAATTTACCTATATTAAAAATTATAGGAATCGATTCAGTAAACGATTCTGAACAAACTACTTTTTTTAATTATGCTACGTGTTTAGTTAAGTGTGTAGTTAAGATTACTGTTGTGATACTTTTACACGAAACTTAGAGTTTATGTATGTATTTATCTATATTATTATTTATGCGTTACAATCTGTCAATAGTTCGTTTCTGAACATAGCCTTCCCCTTTGATTGCTTCATAAGGTGGATTATTGCCATCATTGCCACGCTTGGCCACTGCAGTTTATTGTTTAGTGGTTGTTAGAAAACGCGACTCTATCCATCTTGTGGTTTGTTTCCCTCTGTCGCGTCTTACGACATCCACGGAATGATATGGGATATGATGGAAGAACACCCATGAGTGGATTATTCCTACACCAACGGTATTATTTATTACTCTTAATTTATGTGTATTTTAATTAATGATGATATTTATTACCTATTTTTATTAATATTGTCGAGCAGTGGCTAGTTGATGAGATGTGGTGATCGATAGAGGGTAGTTGATGAATCATCATCATCATCATTACAGCCCTTCACAAGTCCACTGCTGAACATAGGCCTCCCCCAAGTAATGCCACAAAGCACGGTCCTGAGCCACCTGCATCCATCGACTTCCTGCATGTTTTACCAGGTCGTCACTCCATCTAGTGGGGGGTCGCCCTACACTACGCCTACCGGTACGAGGCTGCCACTCGAGAACCTTTCTTCCCCATCGGTTATCGGTTCTTCGAGCTATATGGCCGGCCCATTGCCGCTTCAGCTTACTAATCCGTTGGACTATGTCGGTCACTCTGGTTTTACTGCGGATATCCTCATTTCTGCGTCTATCACGCAGAGAAACTCCGAGCATAGCCCTCTCCATAGCTCGCTGAGCGACCTTGAGCGTCCTCATACGGCCAGCAGTGAAGGACCACGTCTCTGATCCGTAAGTCATCACTGGCAACACGCACTGGTTGTACACTTTAGTTTTCAGAGATTGAGGTATACCTGACGAGAAGATGTGTCGTAATTACCCGAACGCTGCCCAGCCGAGTTAAATCCATCGATTGACCTCTCGGTCGAAGTTAAATTTACCTAGTCGGACTATTTGTCCCAGGTAAACGTACTCGTCAACAACTTCGAGCATAGTGCTCCCAACAACTACCGGCATAGGTGAGACATGGACATTAAACGTGATCTTTGATTTGCACATGTTCATCTTAAGACCTATCCGTTGGGACACCATTGAGGTCATTGAGCATAGTGCTAAGGTCCTCCAGCGATTCTGCCATAAGGACTATATCGTCGGTAAATCGAAGGTGAGTGATGTACTCGCCATTGATTTTAATACCGTATCCTTTCCAGTCCAGTAGCTTGAAAACGTCTTCTAATGCAGCGGTGAAGAGTTTCGGGGATATAACGTCACCCTATCTTACACCTCTCTGAAGCTGGATAGGTTTCGAGCTCTGGTTCTGTACTCGGATAGCCATCGTAGCCCTACTGTACAAGCACTTCAGCACTTCGATATACTGACAGTCGACTTGGCACCGCTGAAGGGACTGTAGCACCGCCCAAATTTCGACGGAATTAAAGGCTTTCTCATAGTCCACATACACCAAAGTGGCAGATTGTACTCTTCGGTCTTCTGTACAATCTGCCGCAGGGTATGTATGTGGTCTATGGTACTGAAGCCTTTTCGGAAATCGGCTTGTTCGGGAGGCTGGAAGTCGTCGAGTCTGCGTGCGAGACGATTCGTAATGACTCTCGAAAATAGCACGTAGACGCGGCTCAGAAGGGAAATCGGTCTGTAGTTCTTCAAGAGAGCGTTGTCGCCTTTCTTAAAGAACAAGACCACCGCACTTCTGCTCCACGCCTCCGGAATAGTGCCACCATGGAGGACGGAATTGAAGAGCTTCTGAAGGACTTCAAGTACCGGTGTTCCACCCGCTTTCAGAAGCTCCGCTGTAATTCCACCCTCGCCTGGGGCCCTGCCGTTTTTAAGGTGCTGGAGAGCCATTCTAATCTCGCTCAGACTGACGTCCGGGATATCATCGGAATAGTGTCGGGTAAGACTTGCTCTTGTATCGTTACTCACACTTGCGTTGACGGAGCGTTGACTTCATTAGACGAGACCTCTCCAACTTAAGGTTCAGTGTGCCTCTAACCATTCGGTGATCGCTGCCGGTTTTCACCCTTGCGATCACTGAGACATCACTGAACAGTTAGCGTCTGGTCGTCATAATGAAGTCAATCTCGTGTTTTGTCGAACCGTCGGGGCTTGACCAGGCCCACTTCCTGTGGAGCCGCTTCTGGAAGAAAGAGTTCATCATAAAGAGTCCCTCTTTCTCCATAAAGTCAGCCAGCTGCTGGCCCCTACGGTTCCGTTGCCCTACTCCAAATTTCCCTAACTTCAGCTCACCGCCTTCTCTTGTACCTAGTTTTGCGTTGAAGTCTCCCATCAACACCGTGTAGTGGGTTTTGGAGGAATGCATGGCTCTCGAAATATCCTCATACATTTCCTCCACCTCCTCATCGGGATGTGCCGAGGTTGGTGCGTAGACCTATATGACCTTCAGCGAATACCGTTTGGTGATTCTGAGTATCAGGTACGCGACCCTCGTCGACACACTCCCAATCTTTACAACGTTGTTGACGAGAGACTTGTGGACGATAAATCCGACACCTCCTCGGGACAGATGGTCGCCCTCCCGGTGATAGAACAAGTTGCCGGACTCGAGGATTACCGTGTCCTCCCCCTCTCTTCGGACCGCAGATAATCCAATAATATGCCAACGCAACTTGTATACCTCTTCTTCCAGCTCCAGTATCTTCTCGTCAGTCCTCAGGGTGCGTGCGTTATACGTTGCCAGGTCGAGTCGTCGTAGCTGGCAACCGAACCTCCACCGGAGATTCTTAGCCCCCCCTGCCCCGCCGTTACCATGGTCGCCACCGTAGCCAGGAATAGCGGGGCCGCCGGGGACAGGGGGGCCATTTATTTGCGTCGTTGCTCATGGGGGGATATTTGCCATAGTTGCCATGCTTGGCGAGCGGGTTGGCAACCGCAGTTTTTTTATTATGTTATTGTTGTTGTTGATTGATGAAAATTAATACGAAATCGCGTCGCGTATGACGCTGACAGACGTAACAAAAGAATTAATGTAGTATAACTGTTATAAATTCACAAAGTATTAAAAAAACAAAATTAATAACAAATCTGGACTTTTTTTTAATATCTTCAATTTCTTTTTTTTTTTTTTGTTAAAAAATTATGCCAAATTTAATCCTTCAACCATTCATTTAAAAATCATGTGTATGGCAAAAAGCGATGGGGTCAATAATTTTAAAACTAACAAGTGGTAAAATTAAAAATTTTCTAAGACCGACTTCAATATAGATAAATCAAAAACTACTGGTCAGATCTTGATCAAATTTATATGGGACTACATGAGAAGCACCAGCTTTCAAATAACAGGTCAAGGAAAATGTTATTTCGTATTTTGTTTATTTAAATTAGAAGAAAAGTCTACTTGGTGTACTGCTTATATCTGGCTGGTTTTAAAATCAATGCATACAGGACATTATGAAAAAGTAAAAGATACATTCCCGCCGTTTTTCGATTGGTTTTCTGTCCGCCAAAATGAGTGAATCAAACAATGAATTTCGAAAAAAAAAAAATCATGACGTTTATTGACTATTTCAGTGTTAATAAGAGTAACACAAAATCTGTTCGTTTTCAATCCGGAAATTTTGATGTCAAAGGTGTAGTTCGCTCTGGTCGACCTCATATGAATAAAGTCGATGCCTTTTTAAAAAGTGGAGCAAGATCGATACATTAGTAGTTACGACATAGCCGAGGAATTGAGGATTGACCACAAATAGTTTTGAGCCCTTTGAAAAAGTCTAGCTACTTATACAAAAAAGCTCGATATTTGGGTACCACTCGAGACACTGAAAGAAACCTAATGAATCATGTACTCATTTGCGATTCTCTATTGAAACGTAATTAAACCGAACTATTTTGAAAAAAATTATCACTGGTGATGAAAAATGGATAACCTACGTGTGTGGAAAGTAAACAAGAACGTGCGAAAAAGATCGTGGTCAAAGGGTAGTCAAACTCAACAGACTGTAGGGAATCCCGGATTAACACGCAATAAGGTGATGCTGTGTGTATGGTGAGATTGGAAGGCAATTGTTTGAGCTTTTACCGCCGGGCCAAACCATCGATTCGGATCTCTACTGCCAACAACTAATGAGACTCAAGCAAGAGATTGAGGAAAAATGACCGGAATTGATCATAGAAAAGGAGTGGTTTTTCATTATGATAATGCCAGATCACACATATTTTTGACCACTCAGCAAAAATTGAGAGAGCTTGGTTGGGAAGTGTTAATGCATTCACCATATAGTCCTGACCTTGCACCCTCAGATTTTCACCTGTTTCGGTTCAGAATTCTTTGGGTAGTGTTAGGTTAATATCAAGAGAGTACTGTCAAAACTCCTTGTCGCATTTTTTGATCAAAAATGCCAAGATTTCTACAGCAACGGGATTATGTCACTACCTACAATATGGCAACAAGTTATCGAACTAAATGGCACATATAAAATTAAATGTAATGTAAACTTTGAAAAAAGTATCTTTAATTCGTATGTAAAATAAGAAGAAACTGTTTCTTCGACCTTATAAAAAGAATCATCAATATCGATTTACCTAGAAAAAAGTTCTGAGGTAACACACAAAAAAAGTACAGTCGGATTGAGAACTACCTCCTTTCTTGAAGTCGGGTAAAAAAACTTCACTACCATTAGAAGTAGGTTTCTTACAATTTGTCGTAATTTCGACGCTTAAGAGAGATAAAACGATAAAAAGCCTAATAGTTATGCCGCCATGTATCGAAAACCACAAGATGTTTTAGATATTTTCCCTTAGGCTTTTTCGATATCTACTAGATGAAATGGGAAATTTACCTCAAACACTGTATCTCCTAGCGTGAGAGTGACTCGTCCCGATCGCCGAACCTGCAACTTGCCGATCCGACCCTCCTCCAGGTCTGCGAGCCGACACTTTGTGTCCACCGGCTCAGGCTATAAAAAAAAGATTTTGTAAGTTTAATTAAACTTATGATTTCTTGCGAACACTACACAGAGAATAAATTTTTTATACGTGGTAGAGCCACGCTGCAACTATATTATGGCTGTAGCACGAATGGGTCGGCTCGGCCGGGGAAGAACTACGCTCGTACAGAATATCAGCATAAATTAGCAGCTTAATATTGCTGTGTTTCGAATGTTGAGTGTTGAGATCGAGACCCTTTTTTATTGGAAATGAGGCATTCCATCTTATTCCTCAGGTGTGACAACACATTTACGTTTTGATTCTTAATCGAAGATAAATGTAGATGTCTATGGGCCACAGTATCTAGTTAACACCAGGTGGTCTATGTGCTCGTTTGTCATCCTTATTCTATAAAAAAAAATTCGCATCCGAAACGTTGGGACTTAAATAAAATATAAGAGTTTTAAAAAAAACTTAAACAGTACGCATTGCTCACGAGCTGTGTTTATCCTGATAATTATTTTATTTTATTCTGGTGATCCTGAAGAGGATACTAGGATAATGTTGTTAATTTATTATATCGTCTTCGATCCTTGATACGTGTGTTAATTTTCAAGTCAATCGGCCGTCCACAATTTGATGAAAATTACGTTAAAGGATTCCGTTACATAGATATACACGCTAAGCTAATAAAAGAGAGGCAAGTAATACTCCATGAGCCGTGGTAGCTCAGATGATTAGCGCTCGCTGTAAATTTAACAGTAACAGCCTGGCCACGGGACATTCTCCGTAGCGAAAATTCGCGCGGCGCGAACGGCGGTGCGTCTAGCGACTAAAACAAATGTATAGAAATGTATGCATCAAGTCACGCGTAGCGGCGAGTGGTGACGCGACCGGCGAAATTTACCGGGCGAATCGCGCGGGCGCCTGGCGGCGCGGCGGGCGACTGAAACAAATGTATGAATCAGTACGGTGCAAGCCACGGAGTCGGGCGGCAATCGCGGCGGCAGACGCGGCGAATAGTATAGGGAACAAAATATTTTAGTTGTTTTCGCCGCGAAAAATGCCGGGCCGACAAAAACAACTTAAAATTCTATCCGCATTGACTTTTATCTCCAATTCTGGTTGAATATTAACAAGAATATAATGGCAGGTTTCGACACTCAGTTTGGTATTTACTCGAAATTTTTTTCTAGATGCATTCTATTTGTTGTGGAATTCTCCATCTATAACCCAATTCCTATTCAAATCATGTACTCCGCAATCTCTTCCAAATATTATGTCTTGAATCAAAAAACAATTACTTTCTAAGCAATATCGAGATAACTTTGATAAAGACATTTCACTCTTGGCCTATCTGGTCGCGGCGGCAAACGTGACTTCCCGTGGCCCTCAAAACGCGCCGCGCGAATTATCGCCCTGCCTGTCCTTCGCCGTTCGCGCCGCCGATCCCCGTGGCCAGGCCGTAAGCGAGCAAACCAGCTTTGATCCCCGCTGGCACCAATGGAATTGTTAGTTGCAATTTTTACCATGTGCTCGGCGGTGAAGGAAAACATCGTGAGGGTTTCGTGGAAACCTGCATGTCTGAGAAATAAGAAAAATAATATTTCGAAGACATGTGACGTTCACCAACACGCATTGGGGCTGCGCGGCACACATTTCCTTGCCCTAAAACTCTCAGAAATGAGCGAAGGCCTGTGCCCAGGAGTGGGACGTATATAAGCTGTAACTTTAAGCAATACTGACGTCTTGTTCGGGCGCGGAGTGCGAGGAGGGCGGCGTTTGCTTCCGCGGCGCGTCCTGCGCGGCCCGACCGCCGCGCCCCGGCAGCGAGTCCGGCAACTGCCAAATGTTAAGCAAACATATACTATACAAACTGTAACATCCTATTTCACCCCTTCAGGGATTAAATTTTTCAAAATCCTTATTGGAGAAAGGAGTATATATGCCAAATTTCAATTCATTCGGATGTATAGTTTTTGAGATCTCGTGACGATTGATTGATATTATGTAATACATTATATATATATATGGGTGGATATGACATGAATTTCCATGGATTTTAAATATAATTAATTTACTTAATTAAAAATTTTTGTTTATAGTTTTTGCGAAATATCTGTGCCAAAGGCTTCTTTCTACTCCGTTCACATGTTACACCCAAATCTTTCCAGACGGTAAAAAGATCATCCAGTGTGAGTGAGCGAGCGAGCGTGCGTGCGTGCGTGCTTGCTTGAGTGCGTGCGTGCGTGCGTGCGTGCGTGTGTGTGTGTGTGTGTGCATGTGTTTATGTGTGATCCTTTTTACTGGTGTTCTATTTTAGTTTTAAGGGCGTCATCATCATCATTACAGCCCTTCACAAGTCCAAGGTATGCCCACAAAGCACGGTCCTGGGCCACCTGCATCCATCGACTTCCTGCATGTCTTAGCAGGTCGTCACTCCATCTAGGGGGGGTCGCCCTACAATACGCCTACCAGTACGAGGCTGCCACTCGAGAACCTTTCTTCCCCATCGGTTATCGGTTCTTCAAGCTATATGGCCGGCCCATTGCCATTTCAGCTTACTAATCCATTGGGCTATGTCGGTCACTCTGGTTTTACCGCGGATATCATCATTTCTGAGTCTATCACGCAGAGAAACTCCGAGCATAGCCCTCTCCATAGCTCGCTGAGCGACCTTGAGCGTCCTCATACGGCCAGCAGTGAAGGACCACGTCTTAGATCCGTAAGTCATCACTGGCAACACGCACTGGTTGTACACTAAAGTGTGTGTTTTCAGAGACTGAGGTGTATACCTGACGAGAAGATGTGTCGTAATTTCCCGAACGCTGCCCAGCCGAGTTGAATCCGTCGATTGACCTCTCAGTCGAAGTTGGACTTACCTAGTCGGACTATTTGTTCCAGGTAACGTACTCGTCAACAACTTCGAGCATAGTGCTCCCAACAACTACCGGCATAGGTGAGACATGGATATTAAACATGATCTTTGTTTTGTCCATGTTCATCTTAAGACCTATCTGTTGGGAGACACACCATTGAGGTCATTGAGCATAATGCTAAGGTCCTCCAGCGATTCTGCCATAAGGACTATATCGTCGGCAAATCGAAGGTGAGTGATGTACTCACCATTGATGTTAATACCGTATCTTTTCCAGTCCAGTAGCTTGAAAACGTCTTCCAACGCAGCGGTGAAGAGTTTCGGGGATATAACGTCACCCTGTATTACACCTATCTGCAGTTGGATAGGTTTCGAACTCTGGTTCTATACTTGGATAGCCATCGTAGCCCTACTGTACAAACACTTCAGCACTTCGATATACCGACAGTCAACTTGGCACTGCTGAAGGGATTGTAGTACCGCCCAAATTTCGACGGAATCAAAGGCTTTCTCATAGTCCACATATGCAAGGCAAAGTGGCAGATTGTAGTCTTCGGTCTTCTGTACAATCTGCATCAGGGTATGTATGTGGTCTATTCCTCGCCTTCGCCTCGTTCCCTGAGAACAGATATGTTGAAAATTGTGCACGAAGGGCACTTAGGTATAGACCGGTGCAAGCGACGCGCAAGACAAGTTATATTTTGGCCAGGCATGTCACGTGAAATGTATGTGAAACGTTGTTCGGTGTGCAGGGAGAGTTCAAACGCACCAGCTAAAGAACCCATGATTCCAGTGGAAATTCCTAATTTACCCCGTTTAAGGTGGGGTTTAATATATCTGAATATAGAAAGAAATATTATCTTATTTTAGTTGATTATTACTCTAGTTATGTTGAGGTAAAAAAATTAGAAAATATTACATCACAAGTGGTTATACGTGATATGAAGGAAATATTTTCACGACACGGTATACCTGAAATACTTATAAGCGATAATGGCACTCAATATACTAGTCGCGAGTTCAGTTTAGTAGAGATTGGGGCTTCACTCACATTACATCCTCACAGAACTATCCACAGGCTAACGGGAAAAGTAAACGCGCGGTGCAAACCGTTAAGTCTTTGTTAATTTAAGCTCTTAAGGGGAATAGTGACTTTGAATTTGTTTTATAGAGTTATAGAAATACTCCGAGACATGGTTTAGACTCTCCCGCGCAATTATTAATGGGTCGCAGATTATGTTGTAAATTACCAGTTTGTGCAGATTTACTAAAACCACAAGTTGTAGACCCATCTACGTTTAAAATAATGCTGCAAAAACAGCAGCAATCAAAAATGTACTATGATAAACATTGTAAAACGTTGCCTAAACTTAACATTGGTGACGAATTAATATGTATAGATGGTAAGAAAAGAATTCCCGCTACTGTAATAGGTGAAGGTGATACTCCTCGTTCACATGTAATAAATAATAAGCTAGGAAGACCAATCCGACGTAATAGGCGTCATTTAATTAAGTCTTACTCAAGTCAAGATTTTAAAAATATAAAAAAACATATTTTCATCACTGGAAGTGGGGGGGGGGGGGGATTTTGTGCAATGCAAAAAATCACAACAAAGCCCTGATAAGATAAATCAGCGTAACGAGAATTCTAGTTTAAGTGAAAATAAAATTACTCAAAATGTACTTGATAATAATAATGAGGCATCCACACCATGGCCACACCCTCTCACACGTAGTAATGCCCGACGACTCAACATAAAAATTAATTTTAAAGGTATAAATATAATAAATTTTAAGTTAGAGTTATAAGAAATTTCGTTTGTTTCAGTTATTTCTTTATATAAGGGGGAAGGATGATATTGTATCTTTATTAATAAGGGGAGATGTTGTAGGTATTTGTTTTACGAGGGCGGCATTGAAAATTTCGGAAATCAAGGAAGTGACAATACATTACTATTTAAAATGTATTTATTGCTTTTCGAAGTATTCTCCGCGAAATTTGACACATTTTTTCATACGATGGAACCAATCATTGAAGCAACCATTCCATTCGGAAGTTGGGGTCTCCAAAATGGCCGTTTTGTAGGCGTCCACAGCTTCTTCAGGTGATGAAAATCTCTGTCCACGCAATTTATTCTTTATTTTAGGGAAAGTAAAAAAATCATTAGGGCTTAGGTCGAGGCTATACGGCAGATGGTCTGACAATTCTATGTTTTCTTGCTCTAAAAACTCTTTTGTTCTGTGTGCGGTGTGAGAACTCGCATTGTCGTGATGGAGGATGATGCGGCGGTTGCAGTTCTCTTTACGGAGTTCAGAAACGACCTGTGGAAAACAAATGCTAGCATACCACTCTGCATTAACCGTTCTTTATCCCTCAAGAGGAATAGTCGTAACATGGCCGGTTTTGGAGACAAACGTGGCCACCATTTTTTTTTGCTCACACTCCGTGAACGAACACCCAGACTCGTGACTGGTTATTTTTTCGGGTTCGTACGCGTATATCCAGGATTCGTCACCCGATACGATGTTGTATACAGCATTTGAGGATCCTGCGTGGTTCTGACGCACCAAGTAACGCGAGCCGCTTTTTGCTTTTCACAGAGCGAATGCGGTATCCATCGGGAAAACAACTTTTTACACCTAATTGTTCATGCAAGATTATTTGTATATGACTCATGCTAATGTCTAAAGTTGCCTGAATTTCGCGGTTTGTCACATGTCGATCTTCCTCAATCAGCTTACGCACACAGCATCAACGTTTTTTGGGTGACTGCAGTTTTTGGAGGACCTTGACCGGGATCATCACTGAGCTTGACACGTCCACGTTGAAATTCAGAAAACCAGCGATAAATTGTGGTTTTGGATGGGGCTTCATCACCAAATGCAGAAATCATCCGGTCAACACACTGTTTTTGTGTTAAACCACTTCGACAGTCGTAATAAATTATCGCTCTTGAATTTTCTCGAGTCAATTCCATTTTCTCAATGACTAAACAAGTTTGACAAAACTTGTGACAAGACCGAGAATCTTTTTAAATAAATAAATGGTATTCGATTTTTAAAACCAAAAGATTTTAATATGACAGGAATAGTGGAAATATTCCATTCCCGATACTTTTAGTGCAGCCCTCGTATTGTATACGTAGGTAGTTATGAGAGGAATAAATCAGTTGTTGTCTCGCTAACGAACGTGTATTATTGCAAACTTAACAAAGGATAAAGAGAACCTGTATAATTATTCAGCGGCGACAACGCAATAAGCGCGACTCTGATGACTGACAGACGGCCGAAAATAATTTAAAAAATGCTAAACAAAATGTGGCAAATTCTTTTAAAAAATGTATGATGGCTAGCACCATATTCTTCTAGCAGTAGACTTAACGAGTCTATGCTACAAAAGAAGTACAAGTAAAAACTCATTGCAAACAAACTAAATAGAATAATGTGATTTACACATAACCACTTCTGAAATCGAAGTTTTAATACTCTATATAGTGATCTATACTCTTACAGTTACTTTTTAAATTTTTTGACCCTTTTAATAAAGCAAATTCGCAACTTTAAGGTCCCAATGAGAATGTTGTCTAGCATTTACAGAAAAACTTCAACACAACTTATACCCTTCGGGGTGGAATTTTAATTCAATTCAAATGGAATTTGAGGTACACAGGGTTAACACCCTCGACGCACTGGACAGGCTGCGGCGGCCGAATTATTTGAGCAGCCGCTTTTAAACAGCCAATGGACGGCCAGTTTTGACCCTTCCTTCGAGCGATATGGACGTGGAAGAACTTGTCATTTTGTGCGTATCTCGTAAAAAACGCTAAGCTAAAAGACATTCAATTCTTCCTCTTTTTCTAGAACGGAACTCAAATGGCTTATTTCATTCCCATTTTAAAGATGTTCGTAAATACCCAGACCGGTTTTATAACTACATGATTATGTCAGTGCAGTCGTTTAATTACCTTTTGGAAAATATGAGAAATTCAATCAAGGACACTGATACTCCTATGCGAGCGATAAATTTCTCCGCATCGAAAGTAATTTTTTGGTTTCGAAACACAAAATACGTCTGGCTATTTACTATAACAAGTGCGCTTTCTCTGACGTCAGCCACATACATTCAGCAAATCGCTAAAGGCGTATTTTTATGGATGCCGCAGCGGAGTTCGTGGCTGCTCAGGTGCGCGGGCTCCTATACATCGTCATATGTACGACTGGTTGCCACAACCTGGCTGCCTTATGCGCGGGGCGCCTAATTTTCAAAGAGTAGCCAAATTTGAAACTTAAGTTCAAATATATAAATAATTATATACCGTTACTGCAGTTTAAAAAAAAACAAGTAAAAAGGCTACTTTTATTTGAAATCATCCCAAATTGAATGTGATTTATGGGCAACAAAGTTTTTGCCTACCAATCGAACCTTACGAATGTAAGTGTAATGTGTAAAATCAGTTAAAATAATGCATTACCATGCATTTAGAATTCAACAGATAAAAAGGACAGAATGTTTGAGATTTTTTTAATTAATTTTTCTTCTCTGAAAATAACCCTGTATACCTGTATAGTAATAAAAGAGGAATCATTAAAATCGGTTAATAATTGACAAAGAAAACACAGTCTAATTGAGAAACAACTTCCACTTTTTTTCAAATCGGCTAAAAGCTTAAACTAACTGCAAATCATTATTGGGTTGTGATTGAACTTTAAATGCTTTAGATGAAAAGCTTCAATCAAAAATAGATCAGCAAATAATCAAAGAATGTAAACGAAAATGAGTAACCTACTCCTTTGTTAACTCATCATAATCATTACAGCCCTTCAGAAGTCCACTGCTGGACATAGGCCTCCCCCAAGTAATGCCACAAAGCACGGTCCTGAGCCACCACCATCGACTTCCTGCATGTCTTACCAGGTCGTCACTACATCTAGTGGGGGGTCGCCCTACACTACGCCTACCGGTACGAGACTGCCACTCGAACACCTTTTGTTCTTGAGTGGCAGCTTCGTGAATATCCTGTGGCTGTTTGTTTACTCATCTAATATAATAATTATATTAATACTGCGAGTAATATATACAATCAAATAAAATCAAAAACTCGAAGAACCGACAGCCGATGGGAAGAAAGGTTCCCGAGTGGCAACCTCGCCGGTAAGCGAAGTGAAGGCCGACGTCCCACTAGATGGCGTGACGACCTGGTAAGAGAAGAAGGAAGTCAATGGATGCAGGTGGTTCAGGAGTATTTTGTGGTATTCCTTGAGGGCCTAATTCAGCATTGTACTTTTAATGATGATGATGATAATGATGAACAAAAACATTACCTGTAACAATATGAGTGTGGGCTTGTCGCTTTTCAGCAGATTTACGACGTTCGTATCTTCGAAATCGCTAGGCATCGGTTTCTCTTCCACATCTGGCACTGTAGGATAAAGTATGTACATATATTTTAGCAAATAATTAGAAAAATACGAACATGGCCATATATGTCTCTATTTGGCCACCATATAATAGTGAAACCATGTAAGTATATTCTAATTCATTAGTCGTGATCTCCTACAGTTACTTTTTACAAATTAGCTGCTGCGAAAAATTCAACGATTTTTTTTTCATTCATTCACCACAGCCTAACGAGCACTCCCGAACCGACACCTCTCCAGAGATTGCCTCATAGGGGTGGTTTTTTTTATTGATGCACCAACATTTGTATCATTCCTTACATGCTAATTAAATACAATGAAGCGATAAGAACTAAAATGTACAAATAATTACAGGCGGATACAACATGCAAATAACTTTCACAGTCAGCACTGTGTACCTATATTTCTAGGATAAAGAAAGATTTTAAAAAAATGATAACGAAATACAGTACTAAAAATACATAGAAGCGAAAAGGAAAGAACATATTTTATAGAATATTACAAATGATGGTTTCTTAAGGTGCAACGGAGCTTGTTAGGAGGGTCGAAAAATAATATATCAAAAAAGTGATATTTGGCATAGATGCCTTGGCAGGCAGATTGGAAACCGCAGTAGATATTACATTGAGTTGTTATCAAGAAGATGCTGCTACCCATCTCTCGTTTCTTTTCTCTCTGTCAACTCCTACGACACCCACGGGATGATACGGTTGGACTTACGCCACTACACAGCGTGAGCGAATCATGTTAAATAATAATATGAAAATAATGATTTCTTAAATTTACGCGAACACTACACATTGAATAAAATTATTTATACGGATTTTATCACGTTTAATTAACTTATTTTTAAATTCCCGACGTTTCGGGTGCTTTACAGCACCCATGGTCACGGGGTGGACTGAGATGTTTGACATCCTAATGTCATAGCTCGGCTACCTTCAGTTTTTGAATATTAATTTTGGTCCGATTTACACAGAACACGCTTACAGTATCTTGAAGTCTTGCAGTGGTATGCTTGGGTTTGGATTTAATTTTGTTAATTATAGGATTCCAGGCAGATGGCAGCACCCATTGATCTTCTCTATTAAAATTAGGATGTTTCTTAACTTCAATAGCCTCATATCATCCTTGGTAAATTGCAGATTTCTGTGGAAATCAGACCAAAAATTAATATTCAAAAACTGAAGCTTGCCGGGCTAACTAGTACATTAGGATGGCAAACATCTGTCTCTCCCGTGACCATGGGTGCTGATGGATAGGAATTCAAAAATAATTTAATTAAACGCAATAAAATCCATATAAGTAGATTTTTCAATAATATGAAAAATTAAACGTTACTTTAATAGTTGACCCTACAATGTGGACGGGCATATACAGAAGTCGATTGGTTTCAAAAGGGGTTATTATTAAGCTAATATTCCAAGCAGATGGCAGCACCCATTGGTCTCTTTAGTGAAATTAGGATGTTTTTTAATTTCAATAGCCTCGTATCATCCTTGGTAAATTGCAGATTTCTGCGTAAATCGGAACAAAAATTAATATTCAAAAATTAAAGCTTGCCGGGCTAACTAGTGCATTGGGATGCCAAACATCTCAGTCTCCCACGTGACCATGGGTGCCGATGGATGGGAATTTAAAAATAATTTAATTAAACGCAATAAAATCCATATAAGTAGAATTTTTTAATAATATGAAAAATTAAACATTACTTTAAACCTAAAATTAGAGCATGTTCCTTCCCTGGCCAATCCGACCCATGTATATCGTGCTGTAGCCATAAAAGACTTGCAACGTAATTCTACCACATATAAAAATAAGGTGTAAAGAAAAACCCTCCTACCCACTTTGCGGATACTAGAAGGAACTCGTTCCAGGAATCTTATAGCTTCGAGAAAAGTTTGGGTTATTTACGTTAAAAAACTACAATATAAAAATAATCCCAATGGTTAAAATGGTAAAATAAAAACCCGACTGGGAAAAAACTCTACTGAAAAGAGAAAATTTCAAAAATCCTGTGATTTCCACGACTAAGATGAATTTAACGGCACCCCATATGTTTATTTTTTTCTTTTTTGAATGAAACGTTACCCCCCCCCACCCCCCACACTAGGATTTTCTCCTGTATCGTGGAGGCAGTTTGCAAACATAAATTATAGAAGGACAAATATCCACACCCGAAACAATTATTTGTAGGCCACATACAAACTTGTTTCGTGCGGGATTCGGGTAAGAAGCTACACATTATCTACAAGAACTTTCAATAAGGTATCTGTATCATACTTTTTATTCTTAGTGTAAAAAGCACAACACTTTTATATGACATGTCCATTTTAATTTATTCAGCACTGAACTGAACTGGTCTTTCTTACTGGATAACAGAAACAAAACCTTACTTGGGCAGTCTCCGTCTTCAGTGGGTTCTCTTTTCACAACTACTTCTTGCTTGATCTTCACAGTTCCCGTGGAATGACTGTTCAGCCAGGCTGAAAAATTTATTGAAATTCACACAATGGAATGTTTTTTTATAGTATAATGGTGACAAACGAGCACACAATCCACCTGATGGTAAGTGGATGCTGTGGCCCATAGAAATCTACATTTATCCTCGATTCAGAATCAAAACGCAGATGGGTTTTCATTCCTAAGATGGAATGTCTTGTTTCCGGTAAAAAAAAAACGATCTCCAGATCTCTACACTCACCATACGAAACACAACAATAATACTATTTTATTGTATTTAGAGCTTCATGTACAACATAATATAGCTGCAGATATCTACCACATATAAATGTCATGTAAAGAAAGTGTGGTGGTCAACTGTTGTTGCACTAGTCAGTTACCGTCATTTAACGCTAGTAAGTGCAACTGTTGATCATGTGGTCCTGGGTTAAATCTGGGTTTAATCTAAAAATGAATTATTTGATTTTTCAATCAAGAAATTTTCAGTATTTTGTTATGTTTTATTTTTATAGAATAAGGGTGACCTGATGATAAGTAGATACTATGGCCCATAAGTAATCTTCTATTAAGAATCAAAATGCACATGCTTTGACCCCTGAGAACTAAAGTGCATTGCCTCGTATCCAGTAAAAAAGTTTAGTAGCATCCTGGATTCACCCCCATGCCTCAGAAAAGACGTAAGGCAATTGGTTCTGCGCTTGATCTCCCTTTGTGAACCTGTGCTTACACATACTGGTTGCGCGGAAAACCATTCGCGTTTTTTATTTATGACGGTAGGAACTTGCCGAATCATTATTCCTTCCAAAACGATATCATTCGTACCCTCCTATCGACACATCGGGGTGATGGGGTGGGAGGGGAAAGAAGACGATTCTAGAACATCGCGCAATCACCGGAGCCGAGGATATATAAGACACGCGCGACCGACGCGCGCTCTCTTCTTCCCGCCGCAGCCGTCGTTGAACTACAACCCCTCTTCCCGCGCGCTCGTTTGGAAACACCTCACTAGTGGAAACCGCTTTGGCCTGGAAGCAGTCGAGCTCCAGGAACCCGCCTCACCTCGTGTGAGATATCGTCGCGCACCGCCTCTCTCCGGAGTGTTCCAGAAGTCGCAGTCATAGTGATCGACAGGATAGAAGAAACCCCGGTGAGTCGACATTCCTTAATTTACTGCCTGATTAGTATTTAATAATTGTTTAACCGCTCCAATTCTGTGTTCTCCCCATCAGGCAGGATTCCTTTCATCGATTTGGCAAGTAATAGTTTTAGTTTAGGGAAGAGCGAGTGCATTGTACCGCATGCTATAGTAGTCGCTTTTACATAAGCATAGAAGCAATCGCAAATACAGTCCACTTTAGTTAATATCTCGCGTAATAGGTTTGAGGTTTGACCGGGGAACTAGATTTTCGGCAGCCTTAAACACGTGGCTCCACCACATACTTATGTACTATAATCATGTTCCGCGCATATGGCTAGTCTCCATTGAGACTGGTCTGAAGGAGAAAATATTATTATATTTCTCACAATGTTCCCATGATATAGCGTTTAACGAATTACCAAGGAAAGGTCTGAGAAAGTTAATTACCCTGTTTCAAAATAATATGTAATACCTAAAATAACCCTTAGGATTTTCCTTAAATTAAAACTTTAAAACAAATTTTGTGTGGTGATGATACAGTAAAATAAGAATTATCTCCTTAGCCTGTTGTTATACCACAGAATTTTTTTTTAATAGATGAAATTGATGAATTGCAGATGCGTTGCTGGTCTTTTAAAAAGGAGTAGGCTCTTTTCTCGAAGGTCCACAAGTCATATTGTTCCGGAAAAATCTCTGGTGGTAGTTGATTCCACAAGGAAGTTGTGTGAGGAAGAAAACTTTTTTAAATTGCACAGTGGTAGACCGCCAGTCATCTAGATGGTATGAATGGTATCGCAAGTTTTATTGCGATGTACGATTGTGAAATTGTGCGGCTAGAATTAGTCTGAACAATTACTTAGAGCACTCCCCGTAGTAAATGTGATAAAATACGCAGAGATGCATGACAAGTACTTTAAGAAAAAAATTAAGTAGTAACCTAAAACCAACAATAAAAAAGCCAAAGTATTAAAACAATTAAAATTAAGCAGTTATAATAGCACGCCCAGATAACATTATTAAAACAACAAAATTATTATTAAAACAACATGGGGTTTAGGTGCATGTATACATCAAAATTGGACTTTTATGGGCTGTTAAGAAAAGAATGAACTATGTGCGTGAGTGAGTGAGTCACTTAAAATGTTCTCAGTGCTCCATCTATCTTTCTTTATTGGTAGGTAGTAACCTATAATTCAAGAATTCGATACCTCCATCATCCATTGGCAATTTAACTGGTGCATCAGTTTCAAAGACATGCTTGAAGTCCTCGCTTTCCTCTTCTCCATCGCCGCTGTCACCAACAACGTTCTTTATCTTCTGTTCCTCTAGCTCTTTATCAATCTAGAACATGACATTTTTTAAATGAACTTAATGTCAACCCGATGGTAAGTGGCTACAGCAGCCCATGGATACTTGCAACTTCAAACAAAGAAGACTTCAAATGCGTGGACTCTGAAGACCAAGAATGCGTCACAGCTTGTAACTATAATAGCTCTCCATTCCAACCTCTGTTCAGAACAGAGTGCACCAGAGCAAGCACTACTGCTAGGTGGTGGAAATAGCTTTAGGCTTAGCTTAGGAAATAGCCCAATATAGAGAGGTTGGGCCTTTCACAATTTTACAGTCCTTAACTTCTCTACAGCTGGGTTAGCCCACATGAGATTCTAAGATCTATAAAAATAATTGATATCAACGAAATTTGACAGCTCCGTGGCTTATCCATAAGATGCAGCACTGGGGGCCGCGGGGTCAATCCCGCATGAAACAAGTATTTGTATAGCCTATAAATAATTGTTCCAGGTATGTTTGTCTTTGTGAAATTTATGTATGTAAAGTGCCCTCACGATACAGGCCGAAAATTCTAGTGGAGGTAGTCTTTAAAAAAAAATCTGCATTCTTGACATTCAGGTATGTCGTTTCCATTCATTATTATAGTTTTCTATAGTGTTAACTATTGTAGAAAGTCATCTTGGTTAACAGTCAGTCCAACACAATGAAATCGAAAATTGCAGGTTTAAGTACTGAACAACCAAACCCCGATGGTTAAGACAAAAAAATTCCAAGACATTGATTAAACCATCCTCAAGGCTGTATAGTATTATTCTTACTTTTTTAACTAATGATGACGGTTGCTTGCAATCTTAACAATTAATCGAAACAAGATTTTTTTATAATACTATAATAAATTGACTTTGACTACATTGTATTGTATGCTTAAACAAGCATGACAAACAAGCACATAGTCCACGTGATGATAAGTGGATGCTGTAATTGCATGTGATGTGTGTGATGCTGTCACCTGAAGACTAAGATGGAATGCCTCATTTCCATTACAAAGAGTCTCCGGTTCTCTACACTCACCATATGAAACACAGCAGTATTTAGTGATGGTATTCTGAGTGTGGTCCTTCCCTGGTAAGCAGACCATTTGATGCTACAAGCAAATTATAGTTGCAGCTTAGCTCTACCACCTAAAATTGTTCTAAACCGTAAAAAAAATGCTCCAACTACATATAAAGAGATAGGTAAGAACCGAGATAGGCCCAGAGGCAAATGAGGATCCTACTTAGTATAAATAAAATGGTTTGTCTATTCATTTATTACAGCTCATTTAAAATCCACTGCTGAACATATACTCTCCCATAGAGTGCCACATAGAGAGGATTTTCACTATAGTTGCCAAGCATGCATAGATTGCACTGCGTAGATGTGCACTGCATAGATCAGACCACAAATAAATATAAAAAAACTGAAGGTAGCCGACTACATATGACATTGATACGTCAAACATCTCAGTCCCTACCGTGACCACGGGCGCTGTAAAGCACCCGATACATCAGGAATCAAAAATAAGGTAAAATAAGTAAATTAAACATGATAAAATCTGTATATATAATTTTATTCAATGTGCAGTATTTTTTATCATTTTGTTGTATGTTGCAATCAAAAAGACGATGCTGTCTATCTGCTATTTTAATTCCCTCTATCGCCTCTTACGACTCCCACAGGATGAAATGGAGTAGATGATTGTCTTACACCACCACAGCACTACATGCTTACCATTTTTTTAATGGTCCACGTAATCTTAGGTGCAGGTGTTTGTCGGTACATAGTATATTTATGTGACAAAAGTGGTAAAGTCGTGGTCGGTGGTTTGGGGGATAAGTCGCTCGCGTCCGTAGGCTATGACCACCTATTCCTAGGCCCACCCTGCACGTGTCCCCCGGGTGGTGCTAAATAAGCGACAATTCGATACCACAGACTCGGCTCCACGCCGTGGTAGCGGCGTAAAACATACTACCCAATATTTTCGCACCATGAGGAACTATATAAAAGAAATGGCCCCGAGTTCCCGGCGCCCCTTTAATGGGGCAGGGTTGCGAAGAATCTCCGGGAGGAAAACCGGCGACGAGGTTCGCCACCCGTCACGTTCTGTCTCCCGGTCAGAGGCCCGTCTGGCTACGTTGAATGTATGTGGGGCAATGAATGATAAAATGAATGAAGTATGCAATTATGTGTAAATGAGACAAAAAGGAAGGGGAAGGATATCACTACACATGGCATGTATACCGCATACTGGTCTGGTGTAGACGAGATCGAGCGGGCATGCCAGGGGGTAGGTATCATCCTTTCAGAAAGAATGGGCAATGTGTGAAAGAGTATGAATGTGTAAGCCCAAGACTGCTATGGATACGAATGAAAGTGGGCTTGAAGAAGTTGTTTGTGTTAGGGGTCTACGCCCCAGACATGTCTAAAGCCCACTTATATCCGAGAGCAGTTTTGGGAAATGGTAAGGATGGTGTTAATGAAGTGTAAGGGAAATGAAAATATTATTATGCTAGGAGATTTTAAGGGAAGGGTTGGGGTGAGGAGCCTTGGTTATGAAAGGATATTGGGAACGTTTGGTGATGAAAGTATAAATGAGAATGGTGAAAGTCTCCTCACCGTATGTATGGAGATGAGAATGGCTATATTCTGAAAGGATGAAATTTTGAGTTTAAAGAGATGGAAGGAATATTTTAAAAGCGTGTTTATGAGTGAGGAGACAACGTGTGTACTAAGTGAAGTAGAAACTCCGAAAGAAGAGGAAAGAGGTAGCGAGATAAGTATAGATGAAATAATGAAAGCAATGAAAAGCATGAAAGCAGGTAAGGCTGCTGGATATGATAGAGTTTCACTCGAAATGCTAAGGGCTGGAGAGGAAGTCGTGGCAGGCCTGCTGCACACCTTGTTTAATTTATGCTGGGAACTGAAGCGGGTACCGGTAGACTGGTGCAAAGTCGTGATAGTCCCAGTATATAAAGGAAAAGGGTCGCAGCAGGACTGTAAAAACTTCATCAGCCTTCTTAGCATTGTGGGAAAACTGTATGCTAAGGTACTGATTGAAAGGGTCATGAAAGAAACTGATGGAAAAATTTGGGATGTGCAAGCGGGATTCAGAAAGGGAATGGGATGTACAGATCAAGTCTTTTCCATGCGCATGATCGCGGAGAAGTTTTTGGCCAAAAATCAAAAGGTTTTTTGTGCGTTCATGGACTTGGAAAAGGCCTATGACAGAGTGGATAAGGATGTGCTATGGCAAACACTGAACTCATTTGGGTCGAGCGCAGGCTTGATACAGGCATTGGAGTCTCTTTATAGGGACTCCAGTGCTTGTGTTAGGATCAACGGGGTCTACTCGGACTGGTTTGACATCCATAAAGGTGTCAGACAAGGCTGTGTGGCTTCCCCGTGGCTGTTCAGCATTTATAGACAGTTGTTTTCAAAATTTGAAAGTTGAAGAATGCGGATTAAGAATGGGTGAGTTAACCGTCAAATGCCTTTTGTACGCCGATGATCAAGTTATCCTTGCGTCGTCGGCGGCCGAGTTGCAAATGATGGTTACATTAATGAACAGATCATTAAAAGAAAGGGGTATGAAAGTGAACGCAAGTAAGACGAAGGTTATGGTTTTTGAAAGAGAAGAAAGTAAAACGATCTGCGAAATAAGAATAGAAGGGGAATTGATCGAGTAAGTAGATGAGTTTGTATATTTGGGCTGCGTATTTAGCAGGAATGGGAGATATGATATAGAACGACGAGTGAATGCGGGAAATAGAGTAAATGGGGCCCTGCACTCTATTGTAAAGAGTCAAAATGTGTCAAAAAAGGCATGTATGGCAATTCACAATGCTGTGTTGGTCCCTACTTTAACATATGGTAGTGAAAGTTGGGTGTGGCAGAAGAAGCACGAGTAGAATCAACGCAGTAGAAATGCGGTCCTTAAGGAGTATGTTAGGGCTGAATCTGAACGACAGGGTAAGAAATTGTGTAATAAGAGAAGAGTGTGGTTTGCAAGATGATGTTGTGACCAGGATTAAGAAAGAAATGCTTCGGTAGTTTGGTCATGTGGAAAGAATGAATGAGGAAAAAGTGACAAAGAAAATTTATGTTGCAGAAGTGAATGGCAGAGTCGGAAAGGGATGTCCTAGGCGAAAATTTATCGACCAAATTGGCGATTTATTGAAAACGGGCCAAATTAGGAGTACCCTTAACCAACGAGCATGTAGTCGAAGTCAATTAATTATGCATCATTTAGGATAACTCAAATACTATTGGTCAGGTCTTGATCAAATTTACATGGGACCAAATGAGAAGCACCAGCTTTCAAATAAAAAAAAGAATCATCAAAATCAGTTCACCTAGAAATCGGACCTCCTCCTTTTTTTAAGTCGGTTAAAAAATAATTAAGAGGAACGAAAAATAAGTTATTTAATACATTTCTATCATTTTTGATAAAAATGTAAACAATCATAGAACTAATTTCTGTTACCTTTATTACGTCCTTAACCCTAATTGTTGGTTTCTGAAGAGTAGGTTTTGCATCTGTTTCCCGACCATAAGATGGTCCTCGGTTATAATGTCTTTCTGCACTACCCAATCCTAAAAAATATGTATTAAGGAAAAAATAAACACTCCTTTTGATATTCTTTTTCTTTTTAAAAAAAAATGTTACCCAACACTAGGATTTTCTCCTGTATCGTGGAGGCAGTTTACAATCATAAATTCCACAAGGACAAACATCCAGACCCGGAACAATTATTTGTATAGGCCATACAAATACCTGTTCCGTGCGGGATTTGAACCCGCGGCCCCCAGCGCAGCCAGTCATTGCTAAGCCACTGCCGCATGGAGGCGTCAAATATTATTTATATACTCGATTCTAGGCAGGATTTAATGCTGGTGCATTATGTGTACTGTCGACAAAATGAAATTGTAAACTATGTACATAAAATTTCATTGAAAAATGTCAAAGTAGTAAAATAACTTCCAATTTATTTATTGCTTCTCACCAGCTTAACACCAGTCTGGTGTCTGTATAAGTCATACCATTTTATTCAAATAGAAAATTATATTTATAATTTAATTACAGGCTTACAAACAACTCTAATTCAGTAAATTAAAAAAATTACAGTCTATAATATACAAGTCTAACTCACATGGGCACAGTGCCTTCTCTCATTTCTAAGAGGGTTTTTGGGCAAGGAAATCTCTGCTGCGCTGCTCCAATGCTTGTTGATGAAATTTACGTCTACAAACTTTTTTTCTTATTTTTCTGATGTGTAGGTTTCCTTGCGATGTTTTCCTTCACCAACAAGCATGTGGTAAATCAGCATTTAAAATTGCAATTAACAATTTCATTGGTGCTGGTGGAGATGGAACCAGGGTTTTTTTATAGGATAGGGTGACAAACGAGCACACAGTCCATCTGATGGTAAGTGGTTGCTGTGGCCCATAGACATCTACATCTATCCTCGATTACGAATCAAAATGCAGATGCGTTGTCACCTGTGAGGACTAAGATGGAATGCCTCATTTCCAGTAAAAAGGGTCTCCGGTTCTCTAGACTCATCATACGAAACACAGCAGCATTAAGCTACTATTTGACGCTGGTATTCTGTGAGAATGTGGTCCTTCCCCGGTCGGGCCGACCCATTCGTGCTACAACTATACTACTAATATAACAGCAGCATGGCTCTACCACGTATAAGAGTTACTCCCATACTGTGAATTTTACAGCAAGCGCTAACCATCTGAGCTACCATGGCTCTCTTTAATTATTATACTATATTATTATTATTGTTGTGACGCTTTTACACTAAACTTAGAGATATTTGTATGTTATCAAACTTATTTGTAACAATATTATTTTACCTTCTGAAAAAACACCACTTGATTTTATAATATTTGGACCATTTTTGAAATTTCTATTTCTATCATTTCTCTTATCTTTTCTCCCTTTATCTTCTTTTTTCTGTTCACGGACATTTGCCGAGGATGATCTGAAAGATAAGAAATTATACAATTTTTTTACATCACAAATTAAATTTCAGAGCCTTTTCCTCTACCTCAATCCTCACCATATTGCTGTTCGCCATCATTAACTGCATTTTAGAATTTATTGAAAGTCCAGTCTGAAGACTTACAACATACACTATTTCCATAAATGGCAGACCAGCTTTCCTTTGGCAACAGGCAAGATAAGAAAATCGTTAACCATATCAAAAATACATGAAATAACTATCGACCTATGAAACATAGTGTTTAGCTAACACTTAGAAAAAACACAGGACACTTTAGTCAGGCAAACTTATAAAATTGGGTTCTAGAGTTGTGTGCAAAAATTTGAAAAATATGGGAGGGGTAATGGCAATACTAATAAAGTAAACCTAGGCAGATTTAACAAAGTTACTACAGGATTGAAGGGACATTTAAAAATGGCAGTTTAAAAAAGAAATGGAGACATTGCATGTGTTGAAAAGTGTAAAAATATTACAGATCATAAGAGATGTAAGAAGGAACATTGTAAGAGGACATATAATTAGCTGATAAAACACATAATAGTAATATATGTGTAATGAACACATGTTCTTGTGTTTATAAGTGTATATCTTCATAGGTTTTTTGTTTAGTAGAAATAACATCTTTATGATCAAATTGTTTTCTTATCCTAAAATGTTTATTCTAGGCATATTATTGTCAATCTTAAATCACTACATTCGTAAAAAAGTTTAAATAAATGGAGAATATACCCTTAAGATACAACGATAGTAGAATCTGGTATTTGTATTTATCAAAAAAAGTGATGATAGTACAATCAATATAAATATTTATAACAAAGTGGAATTTGTTATATCAAAGGAGAAAAATTAAAAAAGTTAACTGGTCCTCTAAATCACTAATATCTACAATAATTTAATATATGTAAAAATACCTTACCCTTTATTTTTATTTCTAGCGACGTTTAAATTCGGTACAAATATTTTTTTATTTGGCTTAACACCACCGAGGGAAAGATCACGCGGTGCCTTGAAGGATGCTAGTCTCTTTAATGGATCAGATCCCACGCCATTCGATGATTTATCTTCCGAATTAGACATATTAAAAGCCCAAATTTTTTGCGTTTATTTAATTGTTTACTCTTTAGGTTAAATCAGCTGCTTTCGGAAAGATCAAATTTAAACGAGTAAATATTAAATATTAAGAATTTCATTATCACGAAGTCTATCACATAAAGTTAATAATTACAGTGTTTTATTGTGGTTTTATTTTAATATTAATTGTTCATTATCTTATTCATAAACACCACTGTGAATGAGAACCAATGTTATATGATAAATGATAACTGATAAACACAAAAATGCATGCAGTACAGCAGGTAGGCACGTCTAGGGCTGCTCTAGCACAGAGTACTTTTTAGGCTCTAGTATACAAAGTACTCTGTGGGCTCTAGGGATCCGCAAAAGTGTCGAGTACCTGAGTAGTTCGATACTTGTAGTTCGATACCTAGCACAACTAATAAGAGTACTAACGTAATACCTACCTAGTATTTTTGTACTAGACACTTTTATTAGAGTATTTTACTAAGTATCGATACTTTCTTAGTTACTCGATACTTTTGTCACTTCATTTAAACTGTCAGCAATGATATTATAAGTAAAAAGGTGTAGATAGGTTACCTACACAATATTTGATCTTCAAAAACGGCACACTAACGCACACATAAATAACTATATATATACTATATACATTACGATTAGACGTCAAAGTAGGATGGAATGATTAAACTTTCGAAAGCGTAAAAGAGACAAATGTAATTTGCGACAATGCGTGGTCTTGTGTAGTAGGAACGATGTAGGATACGTTAGTACTCTTATTAGTTTGTGGATGTAGGATAATTAAACAGATATGACATTATACCGTTCACCGTGATTTATGCCTAAAACGCGATTCACTCATGACTGCACGTAATAAAAGTAATAAAGTAGTAAAAATGCATTAAAAGTAGGAAAATAAAAAAATATAATTGATTTTATTAAAAATTTGTAATCAAACAAAGTGCTGTAATAATTATTTATATACGAACGTATATACCAATTCGTTACGCTACAAAACAAATAAATTGAACTTATTAATTATTAATGACACAGTTAATTTACCCTTCAATAAAACAAGAATTATATGTACACAATTTGAATTACGATACTCATAAGAGACCTATCCGTTTTTTCTATTCTTTGATTAGAAACAATATCACTTCTTTTTCAAACTCACTCATTGGGGTATTTTTATGCCTCTCTTTTTTTCTGACAATATATTTTAAAATATGTAATTTTGGAATTCGTAAACAATACAAAAATAAATTAAGGAAATAGTAAACGAACGAAATACGATTTTTTTAGATTTTTTTTAATAAATATTAGTAACCTTATTAATTAACATTACTAATATTCCTTTAACCACTCCTGCATAGTGCTGATTCCTTTTGACTTTTGGAAACCTTACTTGTGTAGTTGAATAAAACGATTAATACCAAGGTACTACGAATATGGTTACGAATAGGCCTAGTTTGTACCGGCGTTACTTAATTTGTAATTTGTTTTTTACTTAATTTTATTTTTATTTATAATAATTTTTATTACTTTCTTACTTGACATTGTGATTATTAATTTAATTAAATTTACAGAATTTTAAAGTAATATAATCTAATAATATAATTTATTAATGAAATCGAATATTGTCGTTTAAATATAATATTTAATATTTTTAAAATTACTACGCCCAAACTGGGTTCAAATGCGGACAATTTTTTTTAAAAACATAACATCTATTGTTACCATTTGATTGCAATAAAGATTATGATTATGAAAACTAGTTTAACTGCAACTGTTGAAGCTTAGTGGCGCTAGTGGCATTAATTATGGCTTGCAACATTACGCTTGGCGGGCGGGTTGGTAACCGCAGGTTTTTTATTGTTACTTTGCTGCTATCAGAAAGATGCATAGTACGAAACCTATGCAACTGCGGAAAGGTGTAAGACAGTGTGACGGTTTATCCCCGACATTCTACATCGTTTTAAGCTACTGGACTGAAAAGGATACGGTATTAACATCAATGACGATTACACCACTCACCTTCAATTTGCCGACGAAGATAGTCCTTTTGGTAGAATCGCCGGGGGGCCTAAGCACTATACTCAAAAACCTCAATAGTGTCTCCGAACGGATAGGTTTTAAGATGAACGTAGACAAAACAAAAATCATGTGTAATGTCCATGTCACAACTATGCCAGTAGTTGTTGGGAGCACTAAGTTCGAAGTTGCTGACGAGTATGTTTACCTGTGACAAATAGTTCGACTAAAATCCAACTTCGACCAAGAGATCGATCGAAGGATTCAACTGGGATGGGCAGCGTTCATGAAATTACGACACATCTTCTCGTCCGGTATAACTCACAACATGAAAACGAGATTGTACAACCAGTGCGTGTTGTCAGTGACGACTTATGGATCTAAGACGAAGTACTTCACTGCTGGCAGTATGGGGACGCTCAGCAAGCTAAGGAGAGGGCTTTGGTCGGGTTTTCTCTGCGTGATAAACTTAGAAATGAGGATATCCGTAGTAGAACCAGAGTTACCGACGTAGAGTTATAAACATATTACCACGTGGACTTACACTTTGATAGAGGGGAACGCCTGCGTATGGTAACTCCCCTTCGGTCCATCGGTAGCACAAAGACTTGTACTCTTCGGTCTTCTGTACAATCTGCCGCAGGGTATGTATGTGGTCTATGGTACTGAAGCCTTTTCGGAAACCGGCTTCGGGAGGCTGGAAGTCGTTGAGTCTGCGTGCGAGACGATTCGTAATGACTCTCGAAAACAGCACGTAGACGCGGCTCAGAATGGGAATCGGTCTGTAGTTTTTCAAGAGAGCGTTGTCGTTTTTCTTAAAGAACAAGACCACCGCACTTCTGCTCCACGCCTCCGAAGTAGTGCCACCATGAAGGACGGAATTGAAGGGCTTCTGAAGGGCTTCAAGTACCGGTGTTCTACCCGCTTTCAGAAGCTCCGCTGTAATTCCATCCTCGCCTGGGGCCCTGCCATTTTTAAGGTGCTGGAGAGCCATTCTAATCTTGCTCCGACTGACGTCCGGGATATCATCGGAATAGTGTCGGATAAGACTTGCTCTTGGATCGTTACTCACAATTGCGTGTGGCTCCAACGATGATGTGTACTTTTCACGAAAGTACATCAGTGACACCAGCTTTCGCAAACTTCGGAAGAGAAGCCGTTTTTAAGGTGCTGGAGAGCCATTCTAATCTCGCTCAGACTGACGTCCGGGGTATCATTGGTATTGTGTCGGATAAGACTTGCTCTTGGATCGTTACTCACACTTGCGTGTGGCTCCAACGATGATGTGTACTTTTCACGAAAGTACATCAGTGACACCAGCTTTCGCAAACTTCGGAAGAGAATTACGGCTGCCTGCAGACTTGATCACCGGGATACCACCTGATACCACTATAACCGATTATGCAAATGACTTGCGGAGCTAAATGAATGACATTTATGAGCACGTCAGACAATCGGGCCAGCAAATGTCCGAAAAGATGAAAACCCGGTATGACCGCAATATGAACAACAAAGAGTTCGACGAAGGTTCACTAGTGTGGTTGCATAATCCAGCCCGCAGCAAAGGGAAATCTCCTGAGCTTCAAGCCTAATAGGACGGTCCGTACCGGATTGTGATTAGGATCAACGACGTAACCTACCGAATACAGAAGGGCGCAAGAGGTACTCCTAAGATCGTCCATGTGGATCGACTGGCGCGTTATTATGGGGCAGATAATGCTCGGGACGAGCATGTCTTAGGAGGGGGCAGTGTTGCGCGCTATAATTAGCGCCTGATTATTAGCGCCATCTGGTATCAAGCAGCAGAAATAGGAGCGTCAAGATCTTTCTAGATCTCTCCCACTAGCACCATCTATCGAATGGAAGAACTAAGCTTTCTAGAAAGCTCCACACTCGAACTTTCTGCACCTGGTCGGTCGGGGGCCGGTATTTGCTGGAATATTCTGGATGTTTCGGTGGAAAAGGCCTATTGAAAACCGTTGAGGGAACACGACCGGGGCAGTATTGATTTGGCGATACAAGTGAAGACTTAGGAGCGAAATAAAGTGAACTTAAGTAAAAAATAAAAATATAAATTTCTTTGCAACTTTCCGCTAAACATATAAAATGATGTGTCTTACCTGGATTGAAGCGCACCTCCCGCCCTCCCTCAATTGCTGAAGAGCATCGATAGTTTCTCAAGAGACTGGGTTAAATTAGGGGGTAAACAGTGGTCGTCAAATTTCGAAATGATACACATAAGTGTGGATATAAGTAAATTTATAAAATTTTCGTTTAGAGAAATATGACTAACATTTTCTTTAGGGTAAACACTTCCATTACGAAGATTGCATGAGGATTCATGGGCTGTATGATCATACCCATGATCGAACGCTGGAGAACGTGATTTCCTATTTAAACAAAAAGTTTTTTATATATATATTCTTATTACTAGTATGGGAAGTCTGTAGTCTATGAACATGTTCAAGATGGTCCCCACCATTACATCAGATTTGATAAACCACAAGTCCTCGAAAAAGAACACCGATTCCTACCAAGGATGATACGCGAGGCTATTGAAATTAAAAAACATCCTAATTTCAATAGAGAAGATGGTTGGGTGCTGCCATCTGCTTAGGATCTTATAATTAACAAAATTAAACCCAAACCCAAGCATACCACTGCAAGACTTCAAGATACTGTAAGTTCATTTTCCGGAAATCGGACCAAAAATTAATATTCAAAAACTGAAGGTAGCCGGGCTAACAATGACATTGGGACGTCAAACATCTTAGTCCCCCCGTGACCATGGTTGCTGTAAAGCACCCGAAACGTCGGGAATTAAAAATAAGTAAAAGTAGTGAAATAAACGCGATAAAATCCGTAAATTTAGATTTATTCAAACAGATAATCGCCGATAAACGGTTAACGGTATAAAATATTTAGAAAGAAAAAAAAGTAGAAAGGTGTAAATAAATATTTAACGAAAA